ATTCTACTTTATAATCTCTAATATAAAAGCACGATTGCTCCCACACAAGTAATTCTGCCTATCGCGTGCAATTCTTACAGTTAAGACTATGCGTTCAGATAGATTTCATTGGCTCACAGTTTGATAGTTATTCCTACGGTAACTGAAAGCGCACCGACTGTCCTTGAAATCACGGTGCTGCAAAACGCAGCTCTGCACTCCCGTAGTCTGCACGTTATTTATTGAGATCGGATGTTTCTCTTGCCGATTTTCACTGTCAGCTTAACTTAAGTTATCCGATTCGCAGTAATGAGCACTGTGGATTTCCTTTTATCCATGTATGCTGAATTGGTTATAAACCAGCCAGTTCTTACTTAGCTCTGAGTACTTAAGACGGCAAATCTAAAAACTAGTCTGCTGTCCCTTAGGTGACAGTGTTGAATTTCTTGTAAAACACTGAAATCTGCTCAGAGTATTGACGTTTCCATTCGCAAATCTAGAAGCTACTGTGCCTAGTTCGCTCCATAATAAGGAGCTTCGTATGGTTCGTTTGGTGGCGAACTTTCAAAAGCAATTCAATTGGTCCCCTGCTTCCGCAACTCTTCCTACTCAAGTGATGCAGGATTAGTCATGGACGGTTAGTTTATAAGCTCAATCGACAGCAGGGGTCCAAAACGCGATACCAGCAATTAATCGTTTTCGTGTTACTGACCCGGACGCACTCCTGTTTACACTACTTAAACATGAAGGTGAGATCCTCTGCAAAGCACTAACCTCCCTGGTTCAACATGTCTGAAAGGAAGATACCATCCCCGCTAACTAGTATGAATCGACTATAGTAGCATTACACAAAAATGGGCAAACGCACCAACTGAGCTAACAACCAGCCTACTAGCCTAAGGCTGATATTGACAAAATTACTGGCCTCTGTGCTCCTTCGCCTCTCTACGAAACTGGAATCTCGGATTAGAGAAGAATAGACAGGTTTCCGCCCAGGACATGGCTGCATGGATCATATCTTCACTCTGCGGCAGGTGCTAGAGCAGCGCCGAGCATAACATAGATGGACAATAGCTGCGTTCCTTGACTTCAAGAGTACATTCGATTCAGTCGACCGATGCATGTTGCTCGAAATGCTTGTTGGAAAGGTGTCCCCATGAAATATGCTAATATTTAGCGGGCTCTGTACTACAATACCACAGGCCGCCTCAGATTCAATGGTGAGTTGTCGGATGCCTTTCCTAGAAAAAGTGGTGTTCGTCAAGGAAAACGGATTTCCTCATTTGTGTCCAGTGTCGTCATGGAATGCCTCATGGAGTGTTCCCTTGCACATCCCCACAATTGAGGCGTTGACATGCTGTTTCTTGAACCGTTAATTGATTTTGATTGTGCGCACGAAATCGTCTTCTTGTTTGACAATGTTGGGGCGACCCGATCTACCTCGAATATCCACGCTAGTGTGGTCTCATTAGTTGCTATACGTTTTTCACCTTTAAAGTGCGAAGCGTTGCTGCAGGACAACCAGCCGCTTGACGAGACATTTACCCTTGATGACGAAGAACTCGAGATAGTTGATCATTCCAGTTACCTAGGCAGCTGCATCAGCAACCCTGGGCGCAAAAACACTGAAGTCAGTACACGCGTTGCAAAAGCCAGAACAGCATGCTTGAATATGCGGCATCTTTGGTGACAGAAAGGAGATTCCTTCTGACTGAGTGGCCTTGTACACGAGACCACAGTAAGGGCCGTGATAATTGCGACAGTTAAACTTGGTTCTTTCGGGCTGAGGTGCTGAGGCGCCTTCAAGTCTTTGATTATCCTTGTCCGCGTAACCTTGCTGGTGTCGAATGGTACCAACATGTCTACAAACATGATTTGCGTAGGCCATTGCTAGACGGTGATACTTAAAGTAGGTTCTTAAAACAACAGATAGCACTGAACAAGTTGCATTGGCTTGGGCACCTAATACGCATGCGCGGCCACCATTTACCGAGGACAGCCGTGTTATGCCTTCCAGATGTAGGGTGACGCAAGGCTCGAAGTGGACAAAAGTTGACTTGGCAGCAGGAAATGAAGTCACTGTGGGGCAAACTTGGTTCCGTCGCTTCGACTTACCTTTCAGGCTGGGGTCCACGTGACCCACCTTGTGCGCGGATGGAGACAGACAACTGGCAGTTAAAACCAGTGGTACGTCTGTTGTCATCTTCTAGTCGGACTGTTTATTTAAAGTGTGTCTGGTGCTCAGCTATCAGCGAGGTGATAGCTGCTCATGACGCGGGACACTGAAAGCCGCAATGAATCTCTCTCGTTTATGCCGCCTTAGCTTTTCACGATAGTCAGCTGTGATGCTATGTTGTCGGCTTAAGGTAAAATGTTTCCGGTTAGTCCCACTTATCTCCCTCATAGTTTTATTCGTTTCGTAAGTCCTTACGGTTTTATGAGTGCATAGCATCAGTTCAAACGGTCGCATGCTGCTGTTAATGACGATGCAGAGGTTGCTAAAAGACTAAGTCAAAACGCTAAGGAGCAGCTAGTCATTATAATACCGTAAACGATCCGGAAGCGTAGCAAGATTTAAGTAGGCAGATGCAAACTTGCACCTTCATTCCATGACGGTATCAACGGAATTGCATACTAAGCGACCAAGAAGAGAAAATAAATCTCCTGTGTTTCGTTTAAGCAACATTCACAAAGTTACAAAGGATTAGTAGGTGAAAATTCGTCACATCTAGACTCTCTCAGACAGCCATCACACGCCCGGAAAAGCAATGTACGCGCGTTGCATCCTTTCGGGAATCGTCAGCAGTGCGCATTCCATAGAACCCTGGTAGGGTTTGAACGAACAACACGACTGTTGCCAGTCGGTGGTTGAAAACGCTGAGCTACGAGAACGGCAATGACCATCGTGAATAAGTTCACAGATGTGATATAGCGCCGATCACTATTTATACCTATGCAATTCCATTCCCCCTGCTACTCCTAAGTAATCAGTACGCAGACCAACCTGCATTTAATGTCACAGGTCAAGTGGCGGCTTAAGTTTAATATGTTTGTCAATTGGTGACAGCTTACCCTGTCCTCTGCATGGTAGTAACGTGCAAGTCAATAGATAGTGAGCGGCGCTATAGCATATCTAGGAACTTATTCAAGATAGTCCTTACCGTCTCCCGGTGCTCAGTGTTCGCAACCACGGACTGGCAACAGTCGTGTTGTTCGTTCGAGCCCTACCAGGGTTCTATGGAATGCGCACTGCTGACGATTGCCGAGAGGATGCAACGCGCCTACAGTGCTTTTCCGGGCGTGTGATTGCTGTCTGAGTGAGTCTAGACGTGATGAATTTCTACCTATACCATGTTCAAACTGCATCAAAAAGCCATTATCTCAAAATTGTAGTTTAGTGCTCAACACTGAGGTATGACCTTCACAGTGCTCTCCTGGACTCGTCGCCGATGTCGTTGGTACCTTTATTAAGCTAGCATGTCGTCAGATGAGAATCCATCTGGGTTAGTGCCACGAAGTCCATCTATTTCGTTGTTCACCTACTACACTTTTTCTGTGTTGAGTTTACTGCGACCTACGCAGCAGTTGCTAACAAATTCAACAATGACAAATGCTAAATTTATATGGGGTGACTTCATTTTAGCTGTTGTCTTGTGGAAAGGACCTCTTACAATCAAAACAAACTCTGTGACGAGACCAGAATTTTGCTATGGTTGGTCAAGGAGCATGTTCAGAGTTGCGAAAAATGGCAGTTGGACATTTCGCAACCGACAAGCTTGATTACAAACTGATAGCGGTAACAATAAGCTTATGAAGGCTGGAACGGAGACGGTCTGGGCGGCCTGAAATAGGCCTAGGACATCAATTCGACACATGCATCGATCGAGGCAAATGACCAGAGTCAACAAACCGATTAGAAAATTACGTAAGCTGCAAACTTGGATCGGATGAATTGGCAAAAGAATTCACACTCGCTTATCGCTGGGGCTCCAGACGAACTATTTCTCGCAATGACCATGGCAAAATGAGGGATTGCACAGGCACTTTGCTTGCATAGCTCTGTCTATATTGGCTTTATCACAACCCCTTTCGCCGAATGCAGGAGGCAAATCCTCGAAATTTCGAGTATCATCAATGCATGTATTTGAATTGTCGTCCAGTCGATAAGCCGGCAACACACGGTGCAGTTAGCCTAAGTTGCCGGCATACATCACTACAAGCATCGGTTAAATCAGGACCAAGAGGAAACTTACGATCTGTCCGTTAAACAATAGTTGTTATTACTGAACAGCTTGGGAGTGATACTGAAATATGCGATGTTGCCTTTGACAGAATCCATTGTGTTTGTTTTACTCGAGTTTTCCGTGCAAAGCAATCTGTGAGTGTAAATTGCCGCAGTACCGTTGTATAACGAAGTCTCATTTGACTAAACTTCAACTGAACCGTTTGAGAGTAGTGGGAGCCCACATAACAGGATGTAGCAAAGCGGACATGAGTAAGTGCGTTTAACTGTGAGATGAGATGTTGCAAATTGCAAACTTGCGATGAATTTTACAATTTGTCAAGTAAATGAAACATTCATGCACTGGGATACCGACTAGCAGGTTCGCGTGAGAAACCGGCGGTGAAATTATGTTGAATCCACGGTGTCCTTCGGCAGGGGTGAATGACCAGTGAGGTTCATCCGTGTACAAGTGTGCGTGTAGATGAACTAACAAGCAGAACCATTGCACTCTATTCAAAGCGATGAAACATCCACTTTCCATCGGGACACTTGGTTCCCATGCACACAGCTGGAGTGCATCCACTGAGCACGTTGGCTGCATAGTGAAGTGTATGTGCCTTACCTGACCTCGCGACCAGTACACGCTCTTAACAGTGAGAACCGTTTCCAATTTAGTGCAGGAAAATTGCAGGTGGTTGCGCGCTTCACAAATGGGTGACCTCAGAGGTGATGAGAACTCACGAGGAATATAACAAGGTATGCTGCTCAGGCAAGGTAGCATTTGGCAAGTTAACCAATGTCGGCGATATTGCTGCTCGTGACACTGGCATTATTCAAGCAAACTGCTAGTAAGTAATTGTCCATCGTTTCTTGAAGTGTCCACGATCCTTATTTTGTGGTTTGAAGGGATCGAGAGACTTGTATTTGTCCATGGTTACACAAACGCAAGAGTGCTGTTTGGGCAATGGTTATACATGTTGCACATGTGTCACTGAAAAACGGATGCCATTAATGTATCATAGTTATGAACGTGTGTGCTGAGATTGTGACGCGAGCGCCCACAAGGAAAACTAGACCAGTATTCACCCATGTTCCTATCTGTTTTCTTCTAAATCTGCACCCTGCAGGCGCTGTTAAGTGCTACCACTCATGTGGTGTGGTCGATGGCAGGATTTGCCAACACATCCGATCGGGTTGTGGGGCTTGCTCGGTGAGTGCCGTAACATAGATCATTAGATGCTTTTGCATTATTTATTGTTATCCACCGATTCCTTTGGTCTGTCCTATTTCAAAAGATATTGCAATGGTTACTTGAGGATCATTTTCACGTATTGTCAGAATAGCCTTGAGCTCTTTTCACTTATCTCCGGTAAGCCAGCTCTGATCGTTTGACAATTCGCAGTAAGTTTGTGTGGAGCGGGATTTATCCAGGTTCAAACTTGGATCACGAGATTCTTTTTTCTTTGCATGGTGGGTTAGGTAACCCAGGATCATAAGGCGTAGATGCGCTTCCAATACAACCAATCTCAACACCTCTTTTTACCTGTCTTTCTTCACATACATACAAACGCCACAATACTTGCTTCATTCGACCTTAACCTGATTTTCAGTATCACGAGACCTGGCAGTACAATGAGGTAACTCAAATCTCGCGGGAATGCAATGGAAATTGTGAACCGTACGATCTCGAATTCGAGATTGGTGCGAGGAAAGGCTACTGCTGCTCGCACGATCTATGCAATGAATCGCCGAAAACAGGTCAGTCACTCTGTCCACTTGACATGTGAATGTGTTGTGTCGGGCTTTTTGAGGATTCTGTTATCTCCCTACATTAGGTTACCCAGGTCAGCAGAAATCGCTAAAACTTATGGCGTGCACATAAAGACTAAAAGTATGATGTGTGCTGCGACGTGCAACAATCAAATCTTCACCGATTTTTCAAATGTTTTGAGTACTGCAAACAGGTTTCCATCATTAACATGTGTATTAGATTAGTGCCGCTTTTGGAATGGATCCAATACTTGCTCTTTGTCCCTCCTGCTCACTTCACAACAATTCTTCTATTGTAGTTGCTATGGGAAAGTGAAGTAAGGACTGAATGCAACCTGCAGGCCTGAAGCAACCAAGAAGTCAATTATGGACACTGTAGTCATACGCGTTTGGTTTTAATCGGTTTAGCTTATTCATTATACAACAATTGCTTGTGTACTCGAGTTTACCTAATTGCTCTGTGAACTGTTCTTACTTTCTGTCCAATTGTTTGTTTTCCTTGTGACACCACGAATAAAGAAGCATTGCAGCTAACTGTTCCTACTTCATCACCACCAAAGCATTTCAAGTGAAACGTGTTGCTGCGGAAATATACAATTGCTTCAGATTTAGTCGGATAAAGTTTAATTCAAGCGAATGTTTCCCGTTAGCTTGTGTGAACGCTCTTCATAATGACATGACTATTGGTGAACCGCGGAAATTATATTACTCGGAGTACACATCTTACACCGTTAAATGATGTCATTTTTGTCGTAGGTTCGCAAAGTCTATGGCAATTAAGTGTGAATGTGGTCGTCACATTTTTCGGAAATTTGTGGGTACATTATTGGAGACGGGCACCATATTGAACTCACCATCCAATACATCTTCGCTACTGGTACACAATAAGTACGAAGAAAGCCTAGGTGCAAATCGAAAATGCCAAATAATATGCGAACATGCCAACCGCATATTTCACATTGTGAATATGTTGACGTACTCATTCAGTCTAGTTTTGGCAGTGGGAAGTTAACATATGACTGTAGTCGGCCCATTTGGGCGCCATCATAATCTCCGTACTACCGGGTTTTTCAAAAAACACCCACAAATTATCGTGGATGTAGTTGCCCTTCAGACTTGCTAGCTAGGGGCGAAAGAAGGTCCTTCATCAATTCTGGTTTCGTAACTAGATCTATGAATTGGATTACTGTTACCAACGTTGCATAGATATAACGCGTCCAGTTTATGGGATATCGCACTCTGTGGCCAATCCTGAACACAATCATAGAACGAGAAGCCAAAATGAAACGGACTTATCGTTGGTCATGGGGGAATAATTCTTTGCATAAATGTTCTATGGTCGCACAGTTCCGGTAGCGGCTTTGGTCGCAATCGCATCCGCAGTGGTCAGGATACAGTTTCTGCGAGTTGTGCGGTACCTTCGCTAGAATGTGCAAAGCGCTAAGGATGTCCGACTAGAGGACCATTATGAAGTAGGTGTTGTGATTCGGGATCGCAATGCTCAATCTCGATATGGACCGCGTTTTACATTGAAGTAAATCTTGTTCAGTTTAATCAATAGAGACATAGGTAAAGATGATAAAACTTGGGAATTGCCTGACTGGAAAAGCTGCACACCAAGACATATTTCAATCCTTTTTGATCCCTTTGAGTGTATATAAAAAACTTGATCACGATAGCCAAAGGAGTATTGGTTTCTGTTACTATTCCCATGGACCGGGTTCGCAACTTGATATTTCCACCTCATGAGCTCAAACAAACGTGTGCAGTTTATTCAAAGGGCAGCAACAAACTTCCAACCTCCGAAGATATCCTTTTCGCATGATTAATCAGATTCGCTGAAAATAAGTTGTGGACCGTCATGACGGTGCCGCACCACAAGGAGGCGAGCAACGATCTGCTAGCTGCTTCGTGTGTCCGATGTACCGCGCACCACACCTGCAGGTGAACTGAGATAAAACGAATGATTCGAACTTGATCACAACTTTGCCATTGGGGCGTTGTTTCTGTAGCGGGGAAGCCCCATATGTACAATGAATTTAGCGGCTGGGTAGGTTTGTTTCATTGTAGTTGACAATTTCCCATTGAAAAATTGGCTCATTTCAAAGAATACCCCTGGTATATGTGCCGGTAACACATATAGCCCGATTTTAAATAGACCTTTCAATCTAAGCTACCAGGGAGAAAATCGCGTGCAAACTACTCATGTCTATAATCATTAGGATTACTTCCTGACCGACTAAATGTTTAGTATGTCTGCCAATACGCCATTTAGCACAAAATCTCTGACATAAGTATATAGATGATCAACTATCTGCCTGAGAAACTAATCTGAGAACATTCTACTGTCAATCCTACATGACGTAAGCCCAAGTTGATGCTGACATCCGTACTTTTAAATTGTACCACATTTCCCTCGAAAATTTGTTGGGTTCCAATTGTTAGCACGAGTCACCCAAGTGATTTTCAGCCTGGAGCGACTTCAGTAAAGAACCGTACCACGAGATTAGATGAGACCGTGGCGCAGCGCCACAGCAGTTTACCGTCAAGAATAAAGCCTTAGACATTGACGGAAAAAGCCGGACAACCACTAGTATAACTGAAATCACACAGTACTATCACTGACTATTTGTATGGAAAGGCTTACGTGAGCACAAGGCTGAAATGCAGCACATGGCGATGCTTACTCGACAATTTCCTCACTCCAGTGGCATAGCAACCACTTTTGCCGCCCCCAGTGGACGTAAAATGGCCGCACCCTGGCAGTTCTGAATCCATAACTGCACACAATTTTTAACAGGCCTTACATATTTGTTTTATCTAACAACAACAACAACAACAACCAAAGAGCAAATTTTAAAGTGCTGCCATAAGTGCAGGTATTTGCTTTGTTGCAATAATCTTCAGCAAAATTTACAGCTACACTGTTACTGTATTATTTGAAGTAATAATATTGATATTACTAACAAAAATTGTCCATCGGCAACTTCGCTCTTTATGGGTAGAACGACCAATCCGTGATACCTGTCTGGTTCATTGAGGATTGACGGTAGTTCGTTTTAAGAGGTTCTGAGAACGCCCTCTCAATGCTAGCAATCTTAATAGTACGGGCAAGGAAGATGCGCAGCTGAATCCCCAAGTTGATATTTCTAAATGAACTCAAAATTCAGTAGGTTCCTTAATTTTGTCATTTGCTGAAGATTTCACAAAATAAAATATCTCCTTTCGGCATAGAATTCCTCGATTTCGGTAAGCAGACAAGTATAGTAGCATCAACTAGATATGACTGTATAAATAAGGCATATCTTTTTGCAAAATCACGGATTTGCTGAAATCTATGGCATTTCATTAGTCAAAATCTGTATGACAGACATCAGTTCTTCTTTTAACTCAGAATCAAATCATATAGGTATAACCAAACTTCTTCCCCATCCATTCGTTTCTTTGGGTGGATTCGGCGCTTCATGCGTATCTTCAAGTTAGCGTGGTATTTTTCGTTTCTTTCATTACAATGTCCACTATGTTTGTTGAAGGCAAACTCCTAGCGCTGTAAGCTTGACAAAACTTCGATGCAGGTCTAGTTCTTTTGTTTGGTAATATATTTGCGTATTCTTTATTACTATGGGAAAGGATTTCCAAGAGCTCAGAAACAAAAGATACGGAACCATAAACATTGAGATGAGAACTGAAGATGTGTCTGATTTTGTGGTTGCGTTTCCTTACACTGTGATGGGTTTTAGAGTGTTCCGAGTGTTCCCTTACCACAATATTTGCAAGGCATGCTCAACTACTTCATTTGGATTTTACAGCCACTTTATTTTAAGACCGAATTATAGAGGATGCGGCCCTAGAATCCTAAAACTTGTGGTTCAGTCAGAGCAACAAGCAAAGGAAGTTTTGGATCGATGGCGAAGAAATCGGAAACATCTTCCTTCCGAAATTCGGTTAAAGGTCGCAAACAATTCGCACAGCTCAAGTATTAAAGCAACTGAAGCAGCAAGCATACTGAAGAATGTACAGAAGTGTAACTTGACTGCTGCTTTAATTGACTCTGAAGTAGGTCTAAACGAAGGCTGGGACGCACCTTGGCCGAATCAAGTTGCAAACGAGGTATCATTGACCCATCAAAAAAACGAATAACTGCCGACCTCCCATCGGTCGGCATTCTCCCTCACTTGACAGCTTCACCTCTTTGCGGGCTCCTAGAGACCGAGAAACTAGCCTGCTTGTATACAAATGCTCAGGGACTTTCTAACAAACTGGCTGAACTGAAAGATCGCCAAGCTTCCGGCTCGTATGATGTCATTGGTATCACCGAGACATGGTTGCACACGGGAATGACGGACGCTGAAGTGTCGCTACCCGGCATGTCGCTGATCCGGAACGATAGGCTCACAAAAGGAGGAGGGGTAATCCTGTACTACCGAAACGACTTACAGTGCGAAGCCGTGGAGGATTCAGATTCGCAGTTCCCCGACTCTCTTTGGTGCCGGTTGCAGTTAAAAGGCAGGGACGCTTGCCTTATTATCCTGGTTTACCGCGCCCCTAACTCAACATCCAAAACCGACTACCACCTAATGGCTGCTTTAAGGTGCAGTTTACAACAAAAGTACACTCACATTCTTATCATGGGTGATTTCAACGTACATTGTTTAGAAGCCCCTGCCACAACCGGCGAACAATTCAAAACCGATTTACAAGATCTAGTAACTACTGCTCCTCTTTACAACCACATCACTTTGCCCACTCGGTTCAGAACTGGTAACAGGCCATCTGTGTTGGATCTTGTGCTTACCAACGAGGAGCATATGATTGATGCGTTGGTTTTAGACTGCCCATTGGGTCGCAGTGATCACGCAGTCATCAGTTTCAACTTCGTCTGCTATGCAGAATATCGGAATGATAACGATGATACTGTGCGAACCATCACAAGGTACGACTGACTCGCCCAGCTAGTCAGCGCCACAACATGGTCTTTCCTCGAAGAAGAACCCCCGGAAGTCGCCTGGCTCGAGTTCGTAAAAACATTCAGTCAGCTGATTGCACAGGCTTCAGAGATAAAAGCTTGCAATAAGTGCAAATCCATTTCTTTCGTTAGGAGCAGAACCCGAAAATGCATGACAGTACGCAACGCAGCCTGGCGAGTGTACAGAGAAGCTCCAGCACCAGAAACGTGGGACAACTACGTAGCCCAACGTAACCACTGCACTCAACTGTTAAGAAAAGACAAAGCCGCCCATCAGCAGAACATAGCGAAAACCTACAGTGCTAACCACAAAGTGCTGTACAAGCACGTTAATAGCCTACGAAATGTGA